CCATAGTTGCAAACCCCAAGTAATGTACCTCTGGTTCTACTCATACTCCACCACTGTCACAATGTTATACACTCATTTTTTATGTACAATAGTATACTGTAAACTGCTTATAATCTGCTTTCGCAAAATTTTAAGATTTTGACTGACTCAAGAGATGAAAATTAATATTGCGTCTTAGAATTGGAATATTATTTGTAGTGTTAAACAACCATGCTTAAAACAATGAAAGTCATTGATATGCTAATTATAGCTATTGTCACATAAATTGTGATATTTGCTTTTAGATATTGGTCACAATTGGTATGCACTTCAACCACCATACTCAGACATAATACTGATCTTGTTTTAAAAGACATGAAGTTTATGAAAGAAGTCTAGTTAATTGTTGCTATTTGGATTGTATATGTGTTCATAGAGGCAGTATACTGTGTTGCCATTAGTGGTGATGGTAAATGGTTGGTATCAGGTTCTAGCAATGACACATTAATTATATGGAATCTACTTACTGGTGAACTTGTACATAAACTACCAGAGAATCATCGTAATTATTACTTGTATGCTCCACTCACAACGACACACTACAGTTGTATGGTAGTGTCTGTGGATGCTGTTGCAATTTGTGTAAGTGTATAGTAACAACAAGAAAACCATACTTTTTTCATGGCTTATTGCTTTGCTTGAAAAAACACCATTTTATGACGCTTATTTGTACACATTATAGCTGATGACAATATAATGTAATTCAGTGAAAATAAAAAATATAATTACATATTATATTGAGCACTTTCACCTGGAATTTTTGACTACCTTGCTAATTACATACTCGTGTATATTATAACAGATATCTTCCTTTTCAAAGGTTTCTGATCACAGTTACCCTAATAATTCATATTATTTACACTAACTGTCTGCAAGACTAATAGACTGTCAATCATTAATTTACTGATGTAGTAGCATTTAATTTTAATTAAATAATCATCAATAATTATTAATATCAATTTTGTATTTGATCCATTCAGGTGTATGATATGGTAAATGGAAGGAGAATACACACACTGTCTGGGCATACAGAGGCTGTATCCCACTTGAAAATTACACCTGATGACTTGTCTATTGTTAGTACATCGGACGACTCTACTGTCAAGATATGGTGTGTGAATTCTGGACAGTTATTACATGATATACAAGAACACAATGACTATATATCATGTCTTGCTGTCTCACAGAAATACACAGTCAGTTGTGGTAGGGATAAATATACAGTAAGTGTCAGTCTCTCATAGCTTTGAATTGCACAGAGTGAAAACCACAGGGCAAAATCTCTGTTATTCGTGTTTTCAAGATTTCCACATTGCAGAGCACAAGTCAGAATTTATATTATGCATTTGTGATTGTTGTTTATTCATGTTCATCTATAGATGCTATGGTATCAGACCAGTCTATTATTGTTATATTCCAGAAAGTAATTGACACTACCAATGGTAAGATTGTTCATAGTCTACAACATGAGAAGTACCAAGTGACATCTGTATGTATAAGTCCTGATGAGAGTTATTTGACAACTGGATGTGGATATCATCTGTTAATATGGAACTTAGGGAATGGACAACTTTTACACAAATGTTCAGGTTTGTCCCATCACTTAATATATTTCTAAGTCTGGTTCGCAACTTCCATAATGATAGAATGAGGGTTATACAACCATGTTTGTAGTCCCAAACTATATGTCAGCATTCACACTTACAAATTGCACATAATAAAATTGTCAGGAGAGATAACAATGACATTTAATGTCAGACTGTCACCTGGCAAACAAATGTGAAATGCCCTGACCAATGTAAAATATTAGTGCCCCATATAACCTCTGTGATGTTTTTATAATGTATTTTGTTATCTGTATTTAATTGAAAGTTGATTGGCCTCATACCAGTCACAAATGCTTTGGAATTTGTTAATTTCAAGTGCATTGTGTTGCCTTTAATGTACTAGTATACAGTTGTGTGGTTGTCATACCAGCTGCGTACTTAGGCATAATATATATACATATTGCCCTGCATGAGTCTTGCTACCTGTCTAAACTTTTCCAAATCTGCCATTAAATAAATGAAATGTGTTTGTCTATGATTAGAATGTGTCACTAACACAGCTATTGCTATGATAACAAGTTATTACTTTTGGCACATGTAGGTCATGATAGTGTCATTGATTGTATATGTATCACAATGGATAATAAGTATATAGTAAGTGGAGCCAGGGATGGCATCATGGTTGTGTGGGAACTAGAGACTGGTCAGTTGGTACATACACTAGAAGGACAGCAAGCTATTATATCACATCTAGCATTGGTTGAGTATATGGTGGTATCAGCTTCTTTGAAATCACAATACATCAAATTATGGAATATCTCACCGGAACAAGCTAATGAAAAACATATGTATTCAGATAAATCCGGTATTGTTGCCTTGACAACCAATTGTCAGTATGTGGTGCATGTAGCCAATAATGGTACTGATGTAAAAGCTTGGGATGTGGGAGATGGAAAGGATGCAAACACACTCACTGGACACATAGACAATATTAGTTGCTTAGCAACAACAAGCGATGACCAGTATTGTGTAAGCGGCAGTCAAGACAAGACAGCTAGACTGTGGCATGTGAAAAGTGGAGAGTGCATGTACACGTTTCAAGGTCACCCAGCTGCAGTGAAGTATCTGAGCATCAATTACATGAATAGCCATTTTGTGTGTGCTTCAGCTGACAACACATTAACTCTGTGGGACATGACTGCAAAGACTCGAGACCACTCTACAGTGGCTATCAAACATATTACATGTATCGCTGTCACTAACAAAAACGTCATCTTCTATGGCACCAATTGTAGTATGATATGTGTGTATTATCCTAAGACAGCCAACACACAAACTCTGAAAGGTCATAAATCCTCCATACAGTGTGTGGTACTTAGTAATGACAGTCAGCTTATGGCATCCGTAGCCAAGGATATGTATATTATGATATGGAATGTAGAGAGAAGAAAAAAGCTTCATATGTTACACATGGTAAGCAGTTATATTACAATCTAACCTCAGACCACTATAAGGACAGACTGGAAATGGCTATTACATGTATATACCGGTATATTAGGTGTGAATCGGTAGGATTAGCAGAGAAATGTCTGCTTCGCCACTTCTTGCAGAGCTGCTATTGTTGTAAAAGTAATGACCAATGCGCACGCACATTTCACAAAAGGAAGAACAAAATCTTAATTTCAGTGTCAGGTTTAAAACATTCGGTCAAAATTAATTCTGAGAAACAAATCAGAGGTGGACATTAGATTAAATGAGTGTGTTACGTCTGTTTTTTCAGTGATCTGAGATCAACGACACAAGTTGTATATTAATGATTCGTTGTACACTAAATGGTGTATGTGTGCTCTTAATAAGCGGAATCATCACTTTCCTTATTCATGATAGAGGGACTGCTTGTAATACATCAATCTGTCATTCCAATTTCTGTGTAAAATACAGCCCTACATAAATCAATGGCAGATGAATACAGATACAGTAATGCTTGATATAGCATTAAACCTGTCTCCTGTGGAATTCATTCCTCATCCAAAATGGTCATGTGGGAAATGTACAACCAATATTTAAATAATTTGTGATGAAATTTTCATTTTCAGAAAGGAGCTGAATTCAACAGAGATGTCAGACATTTAGCATTCTCGGACGATAACAGTTTTCTTGCAAGTGCTGCTACTGACAAGGTATTCTCAAGATTTTAAAATCTGGCATGTCGCAATTCGGTAGTTATTTTGAACTGGAAACAAAGTTTGAGTAAAATTAACAGTTGTACAAGAAATGTTTATGGTTATTTTCAGGATTGTAGCATTTAAACGAATTGTTTTTTCGCTTTTATTTCCACAATGATAAACTAGTGGAATCATTCTTCTCAACTATGGTGTATTAACTAGACTATGAAAATAAGTCCTGGTTATGCAGTTAGCATATATTTTTTTTGCATAGTATTGACATTTTTTAAACCGACCAATTTTTTGGCAGGCTATACACCTTTGGAAGACAGAAGATGGACGTCATATTACATCACAGTATGTTTATTCTAATGTGACAACCATGAAAATAAAGTACAATCACATCATTGGAGGAACATGTAACGGTCAACTTGTAATGCTGAATATTCACTACGTTCAACATGAAAGCGATGACATGTCAGAAGTTGATCTTTCTGAATTTGGAAGCAGTGTGTTCCGCGGATCTGGTCAGAGATCAGTTTGCTGCAGTATAATGTAGAACACAAATACATCGAACACTACAGAAAACTTAAATATTAAAACAAGTCATTGAAAATGACACAGTCCCCGTTCAATTTTTAAAAGTTCTCTTTGTGCTCGTCATATTGAAGCGGAGGGGTTGTCGCGAGCGTGTCCTTGAAACTTGAGTTCCAAGTGGCGTATACAACAGATTGTTTATTTGCATCAAAACAAGTGTTCAGTGTAGTGGTAATATGGTCAAAAATAAAAACAGTCGTTATTCGGCCATCTTTGATCTCATTCTGATTATGAAACACACTGATATGTATGATGTATGTGCCAAATACGAATGAAAATGGTACATAAATTGTGGAAATATAGTAGTAAGGCCAAAAAGTCAGATGGCTGTCATTCGGCCATCTTTGACCAGATTTTAAACAAAATGTCATGGACATGCATCCTAACATGTATAAAGTACATGTATGTGCCAAATTTGAATGAAAACTGACAGAGCACGTCGAAGATACTGCATGAAAAAAACAAACAAGATGCCTGCCAGTCGACCATCTTTGATCCAATTGTGAAATAAATCGTCATGGACATGTATCCTAACATGTTTAATCTATGTACCAAGTTTGAATGACAACTGACAAAGCATGTCCAAAATACATTTTCAAAAAACAAGATGGCTGCCAGTCGGCCATTTTGAATCGAATCGCTAAACCACTGCATGTGCATATGTCCTACATAAGGTCTAGGCACATGCAAAGAATGAACGGAATCGGTCCACAGGATTCTGAAATATGACTCTGGACAGACTGATGCACGGTCGAACGGATAGACTCAGGAACTCATGGACGGTCGGGACATGTATCCTTACATGTATGATCTATGTACTAAATTTGATTGAAAACTGACAAAGCATGTCCAAATTACAACATTTTCAAAAAACAAGATGGCTGCCAGTCGGCCATCTTTGATCCAATTGTGAAATAAATCGTCATGGACATGTATCCTAACATGTTTAATCTATGTACCAAGTTTGAATGAAAACTGACAAAGCATGTCCAAAATACATTTTCAAAAAAAACAAGATGGCTGCCAGTCGGCCATTTTGAATCGAAGCGCTAAACCACTGCATGTGCATATGTCCCACATACAGTAGGAGGCACATGCAAAGAATGAACGGAATCGGTTCAAGGAATTCTGAGATACGACTCTGGACGAACGCACAGACGGAGACCGAATTATAAGTCCCCGTTTTCAGACTTCGAACAGGGACTAATAAGTTATTTCCAGACCATTTTAACCACAAAATAGGATTCCTGTTTTCTGATTTGCATTGTATATTTAAGCGAACCATGGTTGTTATAGCAGCCAGGTATTTTGAAAGTATATTATATGTACCTGGTAACATTTATTTTATTTAAATACGTGTTCACTTTATCAATTAAGGTAATGAGTAGGATTGTAAATACTAGTTGTGATCAGCATCCTTAAAAACCATATGCATGATATTGGAATTTAAATTTATAACAAATTGTTCATTGTTTTCTATACTAACCAAACATAGGATCATATTTGTATATATATATTGACTATTGCTGTATATACTGTATATAATGCCAAGTAAACAACTGTTTTCATTCATCATCATGTACTGTTTCAGTCATAAATTAATGACGGAATTAGTAACCAAAAAAAATATTTAACGGCTAGTAAGATTCTGATCATATTAGGATTATTTGTATGCAAATGACCAAAGTTGGTACAAAATCTGTTCACCTTCAGGGCGATTTCAATTTAGAGATTGCAATGCTCTTGCAGTCCAATAGAAACCAGAACCAGTACACTGAGTATCCTCAGCATTGACAAGCATTACTCTGCTGAATCCACTCCACATAGCTATTTCAATAGGTGAATGCTTGCAATGCATGACCATTTCTGGCTGAGGAGGCAACGATCACCTACCCCAGGCGCTGGAGGTTTTAATGTTCCACCCACCCAGTAGGATAATGCTACATAAACAACATGTAGCATTATCC